TTGTTCAACATTTTTAAAATGTTTATAGGTACCTACATTGTATAATTGTCAATTGTTTTGTTCTGTGATTCTTGAATGGAAAGTTCCTATGTACTATTTACGCACAGAATACCGCATATTTTGGATAGAAAAATAAAAAACAAGGAATATGACAATATTATTGATGATTGATCACTGGTGAGTGTTTTAATGATATTTAAATGATATAAATATATACACTTACCAGTATTCCAAATACTTTCCTCGTTCTGCAGTCTGCACATAAATTATAAATGCCTCGTTGTCAAACATTATTGTTGTTTAGTATGAAATAAATAAATACTAAATGGATAGCAAAATAAATAACGAGCTCTGGCCATACCAATGTCAACTTTTTGAATGAACAAAAATTGGAAAAAACGCGACTATGGAGCGTTAAAATCGTTTCGTGTGAATATGACCATTTGAAATACACGGTTTAATTTTAGACTTTGATCGCGACCGAACGCGCTAAAATCAAACCTACGCGATTTATCGCGTACACTTGCGATCCGAACGCGTCTGTTATTCCCCGTTTGAATATCAAGATCAAAATACACGTGTACTATTTCGGGCGATTATTTGCCGCGATTCAAATCGCGTTCGAATCGCGTTCGAATCGCTCCGTGTGTAACCAGCTTAATGGTACCTACCTACCTAATATTTTAAACCAAATTATTATACCTATTTTTAAACAATTGATTGTGCCTTTATAATTTTATTCCACATGAAAACTATTTTAAGAAAAGGCGGTATAGTAGAGTCAAGAGACAATGGACGGCCACCTTTGTCGGCTAGCGCGTGTGTAACAGTCAGTAGGTAGGAAAAAAGTTGGTGGGTAATCTATTCTAAATTTAAAACATTCATACTTACAGCATACTTAAAATAAATTTTCTTAATTATTATAGTAAACATTATTAAATAATAGAAGCCTTAAAGTATATTCAAAGTTTATTTCCAAATATTTTACAATAATACTAATAAAATGTTAATTCACGGACATAGTGTAAGACATAGCTAATACCAATAATACCTATAATAAAATGACCACATCATTTTGTTTGAATCTAAAGAAAAATTAAATAAATAATAATTAATAAACGTATTGAAAATAATAAATTGTACAGCATTTTGATCAGAAATTAATATTATCCATCCTCTCGTGTAATGGATACACATTGACCATAATAAGAGTAGATGGTAAATAGGAGAATAATATAATATTACGTAATTAATTAATTTTTTTAAATGTCGGTATCTAAGTATAATCAAACATTTTTTCAAATACCTATAGATTAATATATTACAATACATAGGTACAGATTGTATTGGTGACCGTGACAGTTTTTTTAAATGAAACAATAAAGTTATATGTACTCCTGGAATAATATATAAGCTAATTTATACATACGTACATAATGTTCAAATAAATCCACTTGTGAAATTACAAATGTCTCAAAAATACGCTTTGTATGTTCAAACAATTTTAATTTTAGAGCTTTTATTGTATGCATTTGAAATATCAAATAACCCATGTCGGGGGCTGGCGTGACGTCTCGCCACCCCCCCCCCCCGACGGGTTTTTCGATATCCCCCCTGAACGAAGAACGTACGAATGTTTATATTGCGCGTACAAATACGTACGAATAGAGGGCAATGTATTGGTACAAAAAAAATTTCAAATAATCCATGTCGGGGGCTGGCGTGACGTCTCTCCAACCCCCCGACGGGTTTTTCGATATCCCCCCTGAACGAAGAACGTACGAATGTTTATATTGCGCGTACAAATACGTACGAATAGAGGGCAATGTATTGGTACAAAAAAAATTTCAAATAATCCATGTCGGGGGCTAGCGTGACGTCTCTCCAACCCCCCGACGGGTTTTTCGACATCCCCCCTGAACGAAGAACGTACGAATGTTTATATTGCGCGTACAAATACGTACGAATAGAGGGCAATGTATTGGTACAAAAAAAATTTCAAATAATCCATGTCGGGGGCTGGCGTGACGTCTCTCCAACCCCCCGACGGGTTTTTCGATATCCCCCCTGAACGAAGAACGTACGAATGTTTATATTGCGCGTACAAATACGTACGAATAGAGGGCAATGTATTGGTACAAAAAAAATTTCAAATAATCCATGTCGGGGGCTGGCGTGACGTCTCTCCAACCCCCCGACGGGTTTTTCGACATCCCCCCTGAACGAAGAACGTACGAATGTTTATATTGCGCGTACAAATACGTACGAATAGAGGGCAATGTATTGGTACAAAAAAAATTTCAAATAATCCATGTCGGGGGCTGGCGTGACGTCTCTCCAACCCCCCGACGGGTTTTTCGACATCCCCCCTGAACGAAGAACGTACGAATGTTTATATTGCGCGTACAAATACGTACGAATAGAGGGCAATGTATTGGTACAAAAAAAATTTCAAATAATCCATGTCGGGGGCTAGCGTGACTTCTCTCCAACTCCCCGACGGGTTTTTCGACATCCCCCCTGAACGAAGAACGTACGAATGTTTATATTGCGCGTACAAATACGTACGAATAGAGGGCAATGTATTGGTACAAAAAAAATTTCAAATAATCCATGTCGGGGGCTAGCGTGACGTCTCTCCAACCCCCCGACGGGTTTTTCGACATCCCCCCTGAACGAAGAACGTACGAATGTTTATATTGCGCGTACAAATACGTACGAATAGAGGGCAATGTATTGGTACAAAAAAAATTTCAAATAATCCATGTCGGGGGCTGGCGTGACGTCTCTCCAACCCCCCGACGGGTTTTTCGATATCCCCCTGAACGAAGAACGTACGAATGTTTATATTGCGCGTACAAATACGTACAAATAGAGGGCAATGTATTGGTACAAAAATAATTTCAAATAATCCATGTCGGGGGCTGGCGTGACGTCTCGCCAACCCCCCGACGGGTTTTTCGATATCCCCCCTGAACGAAGAACGTACGAATGTTTATGTTGCGCGTACAAATACGTACGAATAGAGGGCAATGTATTGGTACAAAAAAAATTTCAAATAATCCATGTCGGGGGCTGGCGTGACGTCTCGCCAACCCCCCGACGGGTTTTTGATATATCTGAGCCATTTTGTTCATACAAATTCTGTAACAATGCTTACAAATTCGTACAAAAAGCATACTAAAAGATAGAAAAATAAAATTTCAATATTTTGAAAATGGGGGGGCTGGTGTGACGTACGTGATATATTTTTAATCGTGGCCCCACTCCACAGACCATTGTCGTTGACACCGCGTGCCAGCCGTATGCTCGAACGCTGTGGATTCTTATTTTAATTAATAGTTATTTACAAATACATTAACGACACCTATCGAGCGCCGATAACACTAAAGTGTTTGCTTCCATTTCGTCCTATAGCATGGCCTATCTGTACCTATATTATAAAATCAATGGTAGTAGGTACTAATAGTTATTATACCTAGTAATAATATATTCGTATGATTAAATAATTATAATGTATAAACTATAAAGTATAAAAGACGATAAGCAGAAGCTTTTTACATATTATATATTTTGTTATTGACTTAAGCTAACTACAGATGTATCTTTTCGATCTTCGTCGACAGTAAAATTATGGAGAAAAAAACCTTTAATCGACTAAAACTTATACCAAATTGTCTGTGTGTGTTTTTATTTAACAAAAATAATTAAAAGTAGAAACAAATTAAGAATTAAAAGAATCAAAAATAAGTATTCAATAAAATAGTATTCAATAGTAAAAAAAAAGTATTTGAATACTTTACAACACTGACTACAGGTTATACGTCATATCTGCTTACTTTTTTTATTATGATTTAGGTTATAGCCTATAGGTATTATACATCTACGCAGATACATATTATTATTATAATACGTATACGTAATAATAATATTATAATATGCATATAGTAGGCGGAAGTTGAAACGAACTATAGTTGCAGATCAGATTCACTAGTTCTTAAACTATTTTTTAGAAAGTACGCGTACTCCACTGTACGCTCAATATGATATACGGTGTACATTAAATGATGCAGAATTATTAGGTATTTTATGTAATATGAATAAAAATTAAACTATATTAACATAACTAGTACATTGACGCCGTTGACGGGCTGTGGCACGGGCTACGCGAGTGATGGACTCAACGTGTTAATCTTGAATGGTGCTTGTTTATACGTACTATATTATTATTATACGTTGTTATTATATTATTATTATTATAATTATTATATATTATTATTACGTACTATATTATACGAACTATATTAATAATATAATAATACTATAATAATATATTTTATAGTTGTGCATTCTCGAGAACAAATAATAACCGTGATTAAAAGCGGTTCACGATACCTACCTATGACTGGCATTATAGAATGTCCATGATAATTAATTGGAAAAAAAATTCCAAATCACGATTTTGTTATTATACTTAACATCTTAACCCTCTTAGGCTAACAGTAAGATATTAGTTTTAACTTATAACAATAAAATAAAGTAGGTACTATAAACAAATATAATACAATTTACAAAGAATATAAAATAAACGTTTAACTTAATTTAACTTCAACACAATATTCGATCACTATATTATAGTCTTCAGAAACTGAAAAAAATATAACTTTACCATGTTAAAAAAATATACTAGGTAGGTACTCATGTATTAAAGTTTTTTTAAAATCGTTTTAATTATGCTCAACAATTCTTTTTTTTGTTATAGACAATACAGATAAGTTAATGTAAATAATGCTTAATTCACAATTTAAGTTTACCAAAATAAACATTATTTCATAGCAGTGTATTCTCCTTATTACCCAGCTGTCTAGTATAGTTAACAATAGTTGTATTCAATAATAAGCATGATACTCTATAATTAATGATTGATACATAACATAAAAAAAAAATCAAAATATACTAATCATAATATATTAATCGATTGAGCATTATCCTAGTGGATTCTAATTTCGCTTATATTTTGTTGGTCTTTTCATTCGTGGTCGAATTGTAACAGGATAACCGTGAACACTTCTCATCAACAAATCTATTTTTAACTTAATGTCTGTTAATTTGATGTCAGTATGTACGCTAAAATGTCGTAAAAATGTTGACACAGTAACTTTCATCGACAACATAGCATACTTGGATCCTGTCGTTCAATTAAATTACAATAGTATTAGAATATAAAATTGGAGTTATATATAATTATGATTTCACACAATATTGCTTTACCTATGCAACCTCTTGGACCACCGCTAAAAGGAATAAAGCTATATTTATGACGTTTTGCGACATTTTCGGGAGTGAAGTTTTCAGGATTAAAAGACCAAGGATCTGGGTATAAAACAGGACTATGATGTGTGGTTATTGGGCTTATAACACACGTTGTTCCTTTTGGTAGTACATAATCACTTGAAACTAAAACATAGTTAATTTTATATCAATTAATACACTAGCTGCTACCTAGTACATTTTTGAATTCACTCACATATCTTAAGATCGTCTTGAACTTCTCTAAGAAGCACTGGCCCTACAGGGTATAATCGAAGGGTTTCTTTTAACACTTGTTCTAAATACACCAGTTTAGTGGTATCTTCAATTGTTACCGTTTCTTCACTCCCGCCAAAAATATCATACATTTCATCGTATACTTTATCCTAGAATATAAACCAAATTGATTAACAAAACTGTTGGGCACATATTACATTGTGTTAATAACTTAATATTCTGATTTAAATAAACAGCAAATAAATAAAATTGGTATTTTAAATACATTTTTGCGTATTTAATAGTATAGTGTATACTGTAAAGTCTAAACATTTGATGTTTGAAAAGTGTGTTATTAAAAGTTTTGTTATATGCTATGTATATTATATAGGTAACTAATAACTATGTTTACTTGGATATCTTGATGTATGGCTAACATCAAAAGACAAAAACAGATTGTGATAGCGCTGGTTTCACTACCCTGTAATTACATATTTTATATATATTGTAAGATATTGTACGATATAAAATAACAAATATTTACCCCAGTCATCATCGTTACAACCTCATCTCTAATATCGGAATCTGAAAAGTTTCCTCCAGTTTGGTTCAGTTCAAACAATATGTCCAAGAATAGTTTTGATTGATTTTCTAAGCAATTATACATTTTATTTAGAACTGATTAATTTGTATTATACTATATTATATGGATTGCACTGTTTGGCTAGAAAATACATTGTGAACAATGATGAATTAAATTCACGGTCCCTAATAACTCACCATCCTTATTGTTAATTAAGTCTACTTTCGCATTAATTGCTTTTTTCCTCTGGTCAAATTCATCTTTCTTTTTCTTGATTACCTAAAAATGTTAAGTAAAATAATTATTGTTATGTACTACCTGGTATTCGTAACAAAAGTATATATATTATATTAGTTACAGTTAGATAACCTACAAGACGTTGATAAATTATTGCTTAAACAATGCAAGGACCTAGTCTTATATTATATTGTCAAATCAATCGTTTACTATAGTTTTATTGCGTTTATCAATCTGTTAAATCTATATCAATAAATCAATGATTTACTATCAAACATTAAATAACCATTTACATATTATATTTTAGTACCCCCTTATGCATCTTTGGTATTTATATTCATTTTTTTTTAATATGTTCCATGTGTAAGCTAAAAGTGACAGACCAAAAAATTGTTAACTGCAGTTCCCGTTTATCAAAAATAAACATCTGTATAGGTAGGATTATAAAAAACAAACGTAGGTAATCAATTTATTGAGCAGTGCCGCAACAATATATTGAATGTACGTGGTGTGCAATCCAGGGATGTCTTATCAATACCAAAAGCTAAAATTAAAAATTGTCTGCTTAAAATATTTTTTTTTGCTCATAACGACTATTTTTTGAATTTAAGTAGTTCTATCTAAATGAAATGTATTATAGGCATATGAGTTGAGGATAAGTAATAACTAATAACTAATTAAGTACCTAACTGTAACTCATTTATTGTATTTCAAAAAATACATCGACGATAATAATAATAACATTAATTTGGGGATTCAAAAATATATTCATTGCACACGGGCCTAGAGTTCATATAGTTACGTAACTATAGTTATTAGATTCAGTACAGCTCTAGGGGGGAGCGATCCGGGGCGTTAATCATAGAGGGGATCTAATTTCATAATTTTAAACTTATAAAGTATATAGGATAGTCGATAGGTTCTCTAAAATTATGTTGTGTCCCTGGTTACATAATTTGTAGATCTGGTACTGATTAGATTGTACGGTACACAACAAGTATAGCGATGATGAACGACTAAAATGGTTGTGACTTGAGAGTGTTCAGGGAAATCCTTAAATCTAAAAGACATACTTGTAATGGAAATTTTTTCACTGTATCGATAACCCTTTGGTGTCCAGTGAGTTTTAAATACATTGAAAACACGATTTCTGGATATAACCATGGTTTGTAAATTCGCATCGCGGCTACCTCCGATCCCCTGTAGAAACAAATTGACGTGGTTAATCATTGCAGGTATAAACAGAAAAATTAAAATTAAATATTAAGCATGAATTCGTTTTTTCATTCATTAAGAAATCGTATTTATTAATTATCATGTTTTACAGTAAACACAATATTATTATTATTATTATTATTATGTCGTATAATTCAAGTATTACTTACATTACAATTGCTTCGCCGAACTCACATTCTTTATTGTTTGATTGAGTGTCTAGATTGTACCCCATAGTGGTTTCTATAAATAAAATGCTCCTTAGTAACTATAATATATAACTATTACAAATCACAGTAGGTATTATATAATAGAACTCTAAAAGATACTTTTTAAAAGTATTCAACTACAGATAAAGCTGATACTTATTTTTAAAACCATTTAAAATACGTAATTGAATACTCAGAAAAACTATGGTTTTCGGTTGAGTGTAATTTACAGTAAAAAAGATATTTTGTATTACCTAAACATTTCAAATTTTATTATTATTATTTTGCTTAACTGATTAAAATAGAAAATAAATAAACTAAAAAGAATAAGTATTTTATTCCTTAAAATGTATTTGAATACTTTTACTCGAATACTTTACAGTTTACAAGACTGATATTATACTTACGACAAATAGTATCAAGAGCAGCTGGTGCAATATAGTGCCAGAGATCGAACATTTGTGTTTTATTTAATTCCTTCGTAACATTCTTGATAAGAATTTTGTTCTTTTCGTTAAACACTGGGAAAAACTGTTCGAGAAGCTTGGCATTAAAAGCGGGAGTGATCATGCGACGATGTCTCCGCCATTTTTCAACTATAATCGTTTTAAATTATTTTTAACTGTAGTTAAATTATAAAAAATCTCCTTAAAACTACTCTTAAGAATACATTTTATTTATATTCTGTACAAATGCAAATCATTGAAACGTTTGTATTCAACTTACCTGGTGCAGTAAACAAACCTTCACCCACACCACACTTGAAAAAATCATACATTCGGGCTTTCTGTAGAGCCTTTGAATTATTTAAAACAATCTGAGAAATGATAAAGTTATATTAATAAAAACAGCCAATTTTTTAAGTTGATCATTTTTATTAATGTATATGCTATTAAAAAATAAATTAACTACTTTTATATTCTTTAGATTCTTGCCCATCGTTACTCCAAAATTGAGTATTTTTAAAATTAAAATTAATTTTTATTAAGACAGTGAAAAAAAAAATAAAAAGTTGTATTTGTACTTTATGAGTTATGACAGTTATTGGTTTGACTAACCTAACTGTTTAATTTAGATGACTGGTCTAGTATTATAATATTTATTGTTTTAAAAAGTTATTACTTGTAAGTCTTCTGGTTTACAAATAGAAACTGCAAAATATGGTCCTAACCATAATTTAATTGGCGATAGATTATATTCTTTCACCAAATCAATTATTTTGCTCATGACCTCTGAAGAACATCAAAAAATATACATAAGTAGAACATTAATTTTTTTTAAGGAATTTATTATTTTCATTACGTTCTGAGGAGCCAATAAATTTATATCCTATTCCTATGATCGGGTAAGCTAGAGGCCCCTGCATTTTAGCAGCCAATTTTTCGAAGCGCCTGTTTTGCCATTTGAAGTAACACCACACCATCACAAGAACAATACCAATTATGTAAGCAATTATTTCAATCATTGTCAATTTGAAATTTAAATCCACCTGTATTAAACGGCAATTCGATTATATAAACATATAATACAATATTAAACTATCTACGTCAATAATATATTTATCTAGTCTTAATTTATTACAAACCTTTAATCTGAATTAGAAACGAAAAATATCGGTTGGCAACGATTACAATATTAATATTATAAAATTATATATTTATACTACTGTTATACATAATAAATTGTTTATAAACACTGGTATTCACTAGTTTTTCTTTACTGTTAATTTCATTGCTACACCTATAGGTACGAAATTGTACACATTGACTGAATTCAACAAAATAACTAATAGTTTCATTCGACGACATACCTTCCTTATATCTGACTATAGACTTTTAATTATAATTTATTTTATATTAAAATAAACCAATAATTTGTAGTAGGGATAGTCATAAAATACAAGGTACCTACGATGCTCGTATATAGTGTACCTATACATTTTTATTATCAGTTCTTGATTTCAATTCAAATTATATCTCATTAAAATGTATTGCGATTACACCACAATAACTCTTCTATATTGAAATCCTACTTACCTTGGTGTAATATTTAAATGTGTTTAAACATACTATTATGTAATCTGTTACATTTAATATTTTAAACAAATGTTTAGTCAATATTTTTGCAATGCGCGTAGTCAATTATTCAGTACCTATTGAAAGGTATGTGGTTGATGGAAAGGGAACTATGTATATTGTATACCTTACGTAGTCATTACAGTAGTTTATTGATACTTTAGCTATCAGATATCATCGGATAGGTATGTACTATAGGAGTACAGTTTAGATATAGTTGTGTTGAATAATTAGGTGTCCAAGAAGGGGCAGAGTTCTAGGATTCTGAAATGAATTACAAAATAGATATATATAATATAACTATTATTAAAATGCAAAAATGTTCTTTTTTTAAAACATTGCTTAATTAAAAGCATGCACGCGTTTAAGTCTTAAAAATGTACCATATATGATCAAAATAAATACAAAAGTGCTAAAATATTATACTCTTAAATATTCTTTCATTAAAAAAAAACAAAAATATATTAAAATTAATAAAAAAACTCTTTTCAGCTGCCATGAATAATCGAATTTCCCACATCAGGATTGCAAGAATTTAATACAATTTTAATTAACTTTATATGACCTACAGCAGTACAGGTAATATGTATGCAATTTTATATTTTCCTCAAACTTAAAAATGCATGAAAAAATGTATTATTATAGTACCTACTTAAAATTTACATTAGATATACAGAGTGTAACAGAAAGATCTAACAATAAATTAATAAATGAAAAGTTGATACAAGGTATGAAAACAATTATGAAAGTTATATGGATAATACATGATTTAAGGTTTACTTATGCCAGAAAATGATAAAAAATAATATTTTGAAAACAGTAATTAATATTTAAATTAATTTACTAAAACAATTAATGATATTTAAATTGATATTCGTTATATTAAGATATAATATATTTATTTTTTTTTGTCTTTATTATTTTGTATGGTGGGTTACGGTTAGTAGAGGAACACATGTATGTAGGACGAGGATTCGTCACTAAAAATCTGGAGGTCACCCATCCGGGAACTAAAGCGACGCTGACCGATGCTTGACCTCGCCATACCAAGCTTGTGTACACGTGCAACCAGGTTGTTACCAGGCTCTAAGGCGTACATTTTGTTGGCATGAATATGTAAACACAGTAGCATATTGGAGGGGGCAGTGGGGACGAACGCTCCCCCTCCCCATGACTTGAAGAATAATTGGTTTTTATATAGTTGTAATAGGTAAAATGGTACATACTATAATGTTAAGGTAAAAATATTTTTTTTTTATATTATACATGTTTTCATATTAGTTATGAAAACATATTATGTTATACCTGACTGGAGTTTCTAATAAATTTGTTTGTACGTCCTGGGGATGGGCGCTTACATCGTATACCTAGTAGTCGGAGCAGTAATATTATCACATAAAAAGCCACGTCCTCAGGGCCCACTTATGTAAAGGGCCCATAATCTTCTCGGCTTAAAATTACTTTGAGTAGTCATTTATACTTTTTATAGAGCCTACGAGAATATAATTTTTTTTGTTTGAACTAACAGCCGTTGAGGCCCGTCACCCGCCTACAACCATATTCACTATGGTAGTTAAATAGGTGTAGATACTTGAAATGTAGGTATACCAAATGTTTATTTTATCAATTTCTATACAGTATACTTGATAAAATTTTTTGAATAATATATATTTACTCGTTTTGAGATGTTTTCAGACATTTAAATTTAAATTTTTTTAGTTTTTTTTCTATAAATGTCAATAAAATTGTGTTTGTTGGATCAAAAAGCGTGAAAATTTAATTCAAGGCTCCTGAGTCCTGATATATTGTTACCATATCAGTTGAAAAATATTAAAAATACTATTGAAAATTAATTTTGACAAAATTTATCTAATTTAAAATTTAATAATTATTTTATAGTTAAAAACTTATAAAATGTTCAAAATGTATAGCTAAGGATTAAAAACTTACAACAAGGTTCCACGTAAGTAGGTTATTCTGTAACCAAAAAATCTCAAAATATAAAAACACAGTTTTTTTCCTAAGTTATTTTATTTTCAAATTTGGACGAAGAAACCAAGAATAGAATTTTAGCTATGTTTTTGTAATTTTATAATATTAACTCAGTTTACAAGCTACCGTATTAATAAGTAGTAACAATATAAATATGATATAAAATACCCTTGGCTGACAAACCGTCTTCGTTCAGAATCGTTTTTCGTATACAATGATAGTAGGTATCTATATCATTGAATTGAAATTTTACACCATCCATTACAGTGACCATCTTGTAACCTATTGCACAGCAGAGTGACTTACCTGCTTTTTTGCTATTATAATAAAGTTTAAAGTTTTACCACCTATATTGTTATTTATTGATTGATTGAATGATTGCTCCAAGTATACAGTCAACTTTTTTCACTATGGGTGTTTTTTTTAAATATATTATTGGTGCCTTGCAAGAAACTGGGTACTACGAACGGCACAAACGCTTACTTCTCCGACTGGAGACTACTAAAACAACAAGCAATTATTGCCTACATCCACTCAATTATAAATGAACGTGGAGGATTTGTTCAGAAATTTTGAGGTGAATTCACAGATACGTCGTGTATCATCATGTCACTAATAACTATGGTTACAATAATTGTGAATTGGTTCAAAAGTTTAAATTTAGTAAATTATTGGAGGTGGTTATTTTTATACCCCCTCCATTTGTAACAGAAGTGTGTTACAAATAGTTACAAATGACTAATGAGTTACACAACATTGGAGTTAACCCAGAGTTGACCAGACAATATCAAGCGGCCAATATCACATGTAAAAAAGACACGAGGAAATGTTAAGAATTAATTGCTGATATTTAATTTAAAAAACAATAACTCCATCGATTTTATTGATCAAGTAGGTACCTAATTGAAAACTTTATTTGCTTTATTAAAATAGTGACAGTGAAAAGATTTGAATTCCTACTAATAATATTTTTCGAAATTCCAACAATGTAACTAAAAATCGATATTTTTTATTTAATTATCCAGTTAAAAAAAAAAAAATAAACTAGTAATGTGTATTTTTTAGGACCTGCTATCCTACAGGACAGTAATTCAGTGGGCTAGTCAGCCCCTGGTAATGGATGTTTCAAATTTTAATTCAACAAAAAAAAAAACACACATAATTGTAATGTAGTACATTCTATTCGGAATTTAAATTAATCTGAAAGCGTTATTTTGCAAAAACCTGTCTAAAGATTAACAATCAGAGTTATAGAAAGTATTACAGACAATATTGATGTTAATAAAACATAGGATGTCAGGATGTTTATATATAGTTTTGATATAGAAAAGTCAGCACACTAATTCTTTAGACACGTCATGCACATCGTTATAGGTACAATAGTAATCAATATAATTACTTGTACGTTTTAAAGTTTCACTTTAATATGAAAACTCCAAAATATAGACCTAACCGAATATTATAAATGACCGTATGTTATAACCCTTCTTATAATCAATTATTTTTCTGATGATCTCTGAAGAATTTCAAAAAATATCTTTATATAGGTTGATGGTATGTTATATTTTTTTCAATAATATATTATTTTTCATATGTCGTGATGTTGATCCAAACAATTTAAGTCCTATTACAACAATCGGGAACGACGATTGTCCGGTCGTTCTAGCCTCCGATTTTTCAGTATGACTGTTGTTCTGTTTGCAGTTACTCCACTAGAATAAAAACTATATACGATGAATGTAATATTATAAAAATATATAATGCAATTAAAATGCACTATCTCTGCGTCAATATTATTTTTAATTAAAAACCACTAATATAAATTAAAAACGAAAATTATCTGTCACATTGCATAACTATTATATTTATATTATAAAGTCATGCGTTTTGAGTTGTAAACTAATAGTTTATACTTTATAATTATATTCATGCTATCATTTTACTTCCTACATACACTTATGAAATGGTATCTATAGAAAAACATGAATGCAACAGACCAAGTATCTAGTATATTATACAGTGTGTTTCCTTTTAAAGGTAACACTAAATAATTCTGTCCAGTGACATCGGATTAATATGCGGTTTTCAGGAGGGGATAGGGAATACATAAATACACATTTCTTAATGATTTTTACATTTTTAGATCTTTCCGTGTGCGCATGCGCAATAAACCTTACATTTTTTTAAATGGCAACAGGTGTTTTGAATACCAAATTCAGATAGACCGAATTTTTTTAAGTCGATTTGGTCCTTTTTACCATAGCTCTAAAATAAAAATTGACTAAATGGCAACCAGTCAAAGTTTCGATTAAAATTATTGAATTTTTCATCAATCATAATAATAGAATTTTATGAATTATTATGAAATTTTATTTATTATTTTTGTATCCGTAGGTTTGCAGATATTATTAAATCAATTAAATTTAATTTTGAGGAATTAATTAACCCCACAACGTAAATCTATCCAAATAAATAATAGAAATGATTGAAATTGTAAAAAAATTGTGTTAATTAGTTTAATCTTTCCTTACTTAGTAATTGAACTAACAACTAACAAGTAACATTTACGTCTAATTGAGGTTAATTAATTCCTCAAAATTAAATTTAAATGATTTAATAATATCTGCAAACCTACGGATACAAAATAATTCATAAAATTCTAGTATGATTGGTGAAAAATTCAATAATTTTAATCGAAACTTTGACTGGTTGCCATTTAGTCAATTTTGATTTTAGAGCTATGGTAAAAAGGATCAAATCGACTTAAAAAAATTCAGTCTATCCGAATTTGGTATTCAAAACACCTGTTACCATTTAAAAAAATGCAAGGTTTATTGCGCATGCGCACACGGAAAGATCTAAAAATCATTAAGAAATGTGTATTTATGTATTCCCTATCCCCTCCTGAAAACCGCATATTAACCCGATGTCACTGGACAGAATTATTTAGTGTTACCTTTAAAAGGAAACACACTGTATAAATATTTTATTGGCTGGCATACCCTTTTTATATTTTAATTTACATATTATCAGATTTAATTTATTACGTTACAATACTACTTATACAATTATTAAAACATTTCCTGATATCAATTGCATTCATACATGTATTGATTTTACAATGATGTGTATTTTTTTTTTAATTTTAATTTTTAAATTAAAAACTTGTTTTAGATTCTGAGTGGAATGATGAATGTATTGATTTTACAATGATGTGTGTTTTTTAATTTTTGTATCTGGATACACAATAAGTAGTCGAAACAATACTTTGATATTCAACTTCAGTATCTTGTTCGATGGGAAAGTGAATATTGTTGGTGCGCATCGGGGAGGTCAAAATTATCAATAGTATTCAAAAGCGCCTGGAAAAACAACATAAAAATTAAGGAAAAACGGACATTTTTACATATATAATCGGTTTTCGATAAAATTGATTTTGTTTTTTGGTGTAACTCTAAAACAAATGTCCGTAGTTTTTGTCACTGGTTGTTTAAATCCAAATTTTCTATAAACAATAAAATGTTCAAAATATTTTGATTTGTTTTGAACTGTTTACGGGCATTTTCAGTTTCCACTTTTTTAGTTTTTATTTCTATGAATGTCAATACAATTTTATTTGTTGGGTAAAAAACCTTGAAAATTTAATACAAGGCTCTTAATATAGATTGTTACAATTGTTACAAAACTTTCCTAATATTTTACATTTTTAAAAGATTATTTATGAACCACTACACATGTGGCTTGTACCTTTACCCTTTAATTTTTGAATTAGGTACCTACTTATATGTTTGGCTATATTATGGTTGTACGCTCAACATGCGGACATTGGCATATGTAGTTTCAGGAACTTAGGGCTAAATTATTATTTATAAAAGTTCCTTATATACATTTCACAATAAATCTCAGAAAATCCTCCAAGTAACTCAAATCGCAAATGGTGTTACCTACGATCTTTTAAATGACTAAAACTTATATCAGTTCTATCATAACATTAATTTTACTAAGTAATTAAATAATCAAAATAAATAGTTTTATCAATTGTAGTCTTTTTTAGTTTTTTTAAATTTTCATTCAAAAGTATCATATTATATTATGTAGTTTTGTATAATGTTTTTATGTCTTTAACATATAAGTTATAATACATTGTTCTCTACTGAACCGATTGTAAATATCTCGTAGTCCGTAGAAATAAATAAGAAAAATATTAGTACCTACTTATGCATACATATTGATTTATGGGATTTAGATTAAAATAAGCATTTACTTGGAAATTCACATGTTATATATAGTTTAATAAACTAATATCAGTAAATATAATATGATATAAATGTGATTTGAATTCAGATCCAGGGTTCGGTAGAATAAAACTTAAAAGTAAATTATTTCATCGATTGCTGCAGCTAAAATTAATGTTTGTAAGCCGATGACGCAATACAAGAACTCGAGTACTTGAGGTTGATAATTGGTATACCACAACATTTATGTATTTATTGATAATTTTTATTTCAAAATAATCAAAATTTAATATTAAGTCTTTTATTTTTTAAGGGTGCACGTTTTAAACTTAGAGTTGCACAAGTACTTCTCAGCACTACCCTAGTTGAGCCATTGGTTATTCCACGTTTCCATTACCTATATTATTAGTTGTACCTCATGTCCTCATATATATATGAGTATATGACTTAAGGTTTTATGAAATGTGTTTGAATTATTTTTGGTACGGTTTTTTAAATTATTATTTTTATAAAAACAGACAATTCAAATATTATAATTGTCTTGAACATTTTCCAGACGGCCAAACAACTCAAGTATAGGAAATTATATTTTATTGAAGGAAGAAAGAGTGATTTTGATTTTTTACAAAACGTTTGTTAGAAGTGAGTTTTGGTTATGACTTATGAGTTAATATAATTTATTAAAAGAAGTATGAATGTTTAGATATTATTTACCCATTTATATTTAAAATATGAACCAATAACATTAAAATTCGTTCGACTAATCAACAGACTACGTAGACCCATATAATTCCACAACCACGATGGGTTAATCGAAATGCCGCCTTTTACAATGTCGGCTTGCGAACAGTCTCACCAACAAGTGCATAAATATTTTCTCGGTCACGCACCAGTGTTTTTACACTCTCGGTCAACCTGTTCAATCTTATCGTATTTTTTATTATCAATTTTACGCTATCTTAAGGCACGGCCGCACGGGAATATTAATTTAACAATATTAAAATTATTATTTTTTCTCTTGCTTAAAACGGCAAAGAGAATCTCTTAGAAAAGAGATTAAAAAAACGAAAGGTATAATTGTTGTTGCTCTGTGGAAAATATGATTACTGTTCTTTTGCGTCTTGTATAATACTATAATATGATTTCAGTTGAATATAGACCACAGGCATTGATTTTTTGGTCGATAATTGATATTTTCTTGAATTGAATAAACGTAAGTACCTATATCACAATAATCTAAACATAAATAAATGTTGGTTTATCGTCGAAACTTCCCTGATCGTTACGAAAACAAATAATTTAATACATTTGATACAAAGTTTAACCCGATCAAAGTTGAATGGATTCTATAAATTAATAAGATATTTTTATTTGTTTAGTGTACTTAAATTAATGTCTTGGAATAAACAGGTATGATTCCAAAGTTATTTTAACATGCACGATATTAAAAGTACCTATAGGATGTTAAAAGTATTTTAGGATATCCACGTAACAACATACCTATTATGTTATTTGATGTCTATTAAGCTACTATACCAATTATTATTTCTAATTTGTTTTTGTTTTTTTTGTTTTATTTAGCAGGTAGCATTTGAGCTTTGCATGTTGTCACCGTCCATCATACATTTTTCATAAATGGCTGCTTATATAAATCGCACAATTGGATTTGGTGATTCATTAGTAACGTCTCGTAATCCATTAACAGATGAACAAATTTCTTCACCTTTACAGGTCTTTGGCCAAGCTAAAAAACAAATCAATAACATATTTGTTGATATTCAAGATTATGTGGCTGATGCATCTGAACGCATGATTGGTAATTATTATCACATTTGTTAACAATTTATTATTAAAGCTACAAGTATTTACATAATATTTATTATTTATATTACTTATATACAGAACTGTGTACATTGAGTTTCTAGCACACATATTTTTTCATGTCCCCCGAGTGTACTCACTAGCTTTAAGCTAGAAAGCTCCAATAATCCTCTAGTATTATTTACAAAGAAATCATACATTGATGTTAAAATTTAAATACCTATAATTAAATAAAATGTGTTTAAAATTCTGATAATTTTTTAACATTAAGTCTGGTTATATTATATTATTATAGTAATATAGTTTACTTAAAATGAGGAATTTGTTATTGGCAGCTTGAATTTGAAGTTAGAGACAATTTTTTATTTTTTTACTCTACATACAAATTTCCTACAGACCATACTTATTGGTCAATTAATAATAGGTATATTTATATTCTATTTTTTATTAATCACAAATATTATTAAAACAGAACAATTATTTAAAATAAAAATTTTATTTATTTCTATAAAAACGTATGATTGAATAATTATGAATGATAGAATTTTGCTAAAACAATAATTATATTTTATTTTAATAATTGTTTGTTCATCACTTCTTTCAGTCATACACTATTATAATATTAGGTCTATAATAATCTTATAATATTATACTTATTTAGGAATTATAAAAAAAAAAAATCAAAGTATTAATGCATTAAGGATACAGTTTGAGAATTTGTATTCAGTGTTAGACTTTTATCATTGATGTATTCAATGTTCATACAGTTTTATATTTTATTCTTTATTAATACTATAATTATATTTTTCAGATGTGAATAAGATATGTCCTGATGTGATTGTTGAAAATGAATTAAAGTCTATATTGGATTATAGATCTAAAGTCAAAGGAATTTGTGAAGTGTTGACTCGTGATCATATGAAAGTTGCGTTCTTTGGCAGGTTTGTATTTTTTTGTTTTTGTTTGGTTGTATGTAGTTTAAAACTTACAAATAATGGAAAATTTCTAAATATCAGACATTCTTGCTCGCCGAAATTTTGTCCGCTGTTCGAAAGGTTTAGTTTCTAAAAATTTGGTAGTTTGTTTTCAAAAAAACACGCTATTTAGAGGTATCCGTTAGGGAGATTTCACTGTATTATAATATTTATTATATTTACTACTAACTATTAACAGTAGAGCAAAAGATATAAAAATAAAAAGATTTTTTTTTGCGTTATTTTAATTTTTTGTTATGAATTGAATTGAAGCATTTTCTATAATTAGAGCTTATAAATATTTTTTAAATTTAATTTTCAATAAAAATAAATTTTATTGATTGTGTTTATTTGGAAAACAAAATCTTTATGATAAAATATCATATTAAATATTATTTTTATTAATAAGATGTTTAAATTTAAAACATTAATACAATTTATAGAACAAGCAATGGAAAGAGTACAGTTGTAAATGCGATGTTGGGTGAAAAAGTCCTTCCTAGCGGTATTGGTCATACAACTAATTGTTTTCTGCAAGTTGAAGGGTCTCAAACTGGTGATGCATATTTAGTTACCGAAGGTAGTAATGAAAAACAGAATGTAGAAGTAAGTAGTTGTCCACTATTGTATGTTTACATTTGTATGATAAATGTTTTAATTTAATTTATTTATTTTTTAGTCTGTTACTCACTTAGCACATGCATTGAATTATGAAAAACAATTGAATGAAAAAGAATTGGTACATGTTTATTGGCCAAAAGATAAATGTAGCTTACTTAGAGATGATGTAGCTTTAGTTGACTCTCCAGGAGTGGATGTTACTCCACATTTGGATGATTGGATTGATGCACATTGTATTGATGCTGATGTTTTTGTGTTAGTTGCTAATGCCGAATCCACACTAATGGTTACTGTAAGTCAATTGTGTATATTCTAAATAATATTCAATACATAAATTAAGAAATTAATATTTTAGAGTAGGTAGATCAAAACTTAAACAAAAAAAAGTTAAATTATTTATATTTATTATTAAATATATTATATTATTTATAATGCACAACTTAAAATTATTCTCTTAACTTAAAAGTATGTCATTGCAATGGATGTGTTAGATATGAATTCATTGATAAATCGTTGCATACAAAAAATGATTCTGAGTGGGACTGTGTGTGTTAGTAGCATACATGTATAAATAATACAATTTAATTACTAATAACCTTTGAATATCAAATATCAAATAACATTTAAATCAAAGGCTCATAAAAGATTTATGATACTGTCTAGTTACTTTTTTTTTTTTACCAAATGTAAAAAAAACTTACTGTGGATCTTCTATTAAAATTTAAATGTTAGCTATAAAATTAAAAAATATTATTAATTTCTAACTGAAAAATAATTTTTTAAACTTTAGAGATTTTGATAAATTTTTTCAACATTTGAACTTTAAATGCATATAAAAAATTGTTTCTATGTATCTTTAATATTTTTAAACTGTTATTTAAGCAACTTATGAGGACCCTTTCATTCCATTTTCAGGCTATTTTACTTTGTCGTTATTATCATAGGTATCAATGTATTCTGTATAACATTCTAATATTCTGCTTTGGAATAAGAAATTAAAAATAAATGTTGTCAATAAAAAAAGTAAACAACTTATAAAACAATACAAATGAAATATGTATATTTTTTAAATTGTTCATTTTAAAAACTTGAATTGATATAAACATTTTTATAAAAACATTAATAGTTTTTAAGTAATGAATGTTCTTTGATATTAGAATCACACAGTACTGTATTAGTATACAAACTACTGGCAATAGTACAACGTAACCTAAAAATAGATAAAACAATCATTGTCCTACACCAAGTAAACTAAAATATATTAATGTTAAATTGTTTTAATAAAATATGAGCAATAAAATTAAAATCATATAAAATAAACACATTTTATTGTTATATCATTCGACTATAAAAATTGGTTTTTTATTCATTTTTATTCTTGGGACCCTGGGTGTTTGGCGTCATTCAATGGTCCTGATGATGGTCGCGGACACAAATAAATGTTGTAATAATATTTAATTAATATGTCCGTGATCGTAGCAGTTTGATGATTGCGTCACTATTGTACCAGGAACCTATGTTTCATGTGATTATGTTTGTTATTTCATAATATCATACAATATTTTTTAAAAAGTTTTTCTGTTTCATTTTCTTGTTTTCTTCTTGCTGTTTGTTAACTTAGATCACTGATCAACCCTGTGTCCATATATTGCCCTGGTACTTACAATGTGTATTATTCAAGAAGAAATTAAAGTGAAATATCAATATGCTTAAAAGGTATCCCAGGTCTTTTTCTTACTGCGCCCAGTCTTTCATGACAATAATTAAAAACCAAATATCATACTGTTGATACACAAAATCGAATAAATTACAGTACAGTAGAACTCCAATTATCCGGTCTAATTAATGTCAAGGGTGGTCCAGATAAGCAAATATTCGGATGATTGACATGACATTTTAAAAGTTATTTAGGAACATTGTACAATTCACTCGTTATAATAATATAACAATTGACAGACTAAACTGTGCGACGATTAGACAACACTGACCATTGGGGGGTGCATAGGGTATTTTTGCACCCCCGAGTTAAAAATGTGCACTCCCAAAATATAAAAGACTTAATCTATAATATTTTGATTATTTTGAAGTAAATATTATCAATAAATACAAAAATGTTGTAAGTGGGTACTTCACTATTATGTTCCAACATTCCCAGCTATAACAGTATAACATAATATTATGAAATAAACTTTAGCTTAGGACCTTTTTTTTTTCAAATTTCAAACTGTTGATTTTCAAAATCGAATCAATTACTGTACTTTATTTTTGCCAAGAACATAGATAATATATAAGTAAAAAATTAAAAAAAAAAATTACGACCCTAGTATAAAACATATATTATCCCCATAACTTATCATTTGGTAAGGCGATGGGCTATCTATTATATTATACCATCTATGGACTATGGTTGAGGTTAATTTTAAAGTGCAATAATTTGAATGAAATTTCTTTAAAATTTTAAATATTAAACAAGTACAGTAAAACCTCATTAGTCTTAACCCCAATAATGCGGACTTTGCTTAATCCGGACAGTCGTTTAATAACACTTAAACGCGTAGTTTGAGACGCAGTCTATAATAAACATGAAAGGGAATTCAACTAATTTCCCATAATTATGCATGTGATCACAATTATTTCTACAAAATACCAAAAACAAATTGTGAATCACGTCATCCAATTGTTAATTACATAATATATGTTCTTAATTCTATCATACATTGATACATACACGTATTTTGGTTAATTTGTTTAATCCGGAATTTCATTAATTTGGACAACCTAGAGCCCCAATCAGTCCGGATTATTGAGGTTCTACTGTATAATAGTAGAAATTTTTTAAGTGCAATGATTTGAATGAAATTTCTTTAAAATTTTAAATATTATACAAGTATAATAATATATACATTCAAATGTTTTATTTATAATTTATATAATGTTTATTCTATTGTTCTTATATTAAATGGTACATTTATTAATAGATTTTAAATTATTAATTTGTAAGTTTAAAAGTAATTTTTAAAATTTATATTATTTCAAAATAGAGTCTTCATTTTCTTTTTTGATTTACTATTTCTTAGTTTAAAACTATTAGTAGAATAGAAATTATAATTATGAATTATTATGGTATTAAATTATTATTTTACTTTAAGTAATAACTAGTATAATATATTACTGTTAAATATAATTTACATTTTTATTTTATTTTCATATAATATAATATATTTTTTTAAACTTTTTTTCTTTTTGTTGCTTATGATTTTAATTTTAAACACAACTATTTTAATATTTTCAACATTTTTTTTTTCATAGTCTAATAATAAAGTTTTGTCTTAATTGTTCTAAACAATATATAATTATATTTTTGTTAGTGAACATGAAAAAGTCCATACTAGTTACTAATACCTATGCTGTTCTGAGTTATTTCTATAAATAAATAAATGTTCCTTTATTTCACATTTGTTATAAAATGAAAAATGTGTAAATGATATTTTAATTTTTAAGTGAATTATGAGCATTTAAAAATATTGATGTTTTACATACACATAACTCAATTAGATCAGTAGCCATCCCTGATACATAACATTTAAATTTCAAACAATGAAATCATTTTCAATTTATATTAAATCAGATATTATGCAGTATATTTTATGAATACTTTTAATTGAATTTTATGTAAAAATTTTAAAAATTATATTAATTATAACTCTATACAACTATCTATGATGAGATATACTTATCCCAAAGTATCATTATTTCCTAATAATATGCTGTGTGCATTTACTATAATACAATTAATGGCTTTAATTATTACCACGTTTATGGTTTAGTTTGTAAAACTATAATTTGAAAACTAAATGTCTTAACAACAATAACTGACTACCATTCTGTACTCATATTACAATTTATACTACTTTCAGGAGAAGAATTTCTTTCATAAAGTATCGACAAAATTATCTAAGCCAAATATTTTTATATTGAATAACCGCTGGGATGCATCCGCTAATGAACCAGAGTTCTTAGACCAGGTAAATGTTATGATCATTATTTATGTATACATTATTATTAAATACCTATCCTTTTTTATGTTATTATCTTTCCATCCAGTTTAATAGCCAAGAACAGGTAAGAAAAAGCCTTGTTTCTGCCGAATTGTCTGAACAATTTATTAATAATAATAAGTGTGTTGTATTCATAATATATTATAGTGCATATATCTGCACATTATATCTGCATATTATAGTTTGAAGTTTGAAGCTAGATAATAATTTATTTATTTTGCTTATTTCAAAAATAATTAATTAAAAAAATTAACATATACAATTTTCCATTAGGTGCGTAAACAACACATGGAGCGTGCTACAGATTTTTTGGTAAAGGAGTTGAAAGTTTGCACACCAGATGAGGCAGTGTCTCGTATATTTTTTATTTCTGCTAAAGAAGTGTTACAGGCCCGTGTAAAAGAGCGCAATGGCCAAGCTTTAAATAGCGGAGCATTAGCTGAAGGTTTTAGTGCTAGATATATGGAGTTTGAAGAATTTGAACGTAGATTTGAGGAGTGTATCTCAAAATCTGCAATCAAGACTAAGTTTTTAAATCATTCACAGCAGGGAAAACATTTAGTCAAGTGAGATTTTTATCAATTATTAATGTTTATAGTATTTATACAACTTATAAAACACTTTAATACAAATGTAATTACAATTTTTATTTTAATAAATTCTGCATTGCGTTAAAAAGGATCCTCTGTGTAAATCCGTTTTTAATCGAGAAGCGGTCAGACAACACTAATTTGTCCCCCCTACTGAGTTAACCATTTGTAAGCTTGCTAATGGCCTGTGTAAAGTCACACTCCTCTGTAAAAGTTGGCCGCTGTGGTTCCTTATAAACATGAATGGAGTATAGAGAATAAACTTTAAAAATGTTGTTCGAGTTATTTGAGTTAAAACTAATTATTCTTGTATTATTTCTAGAGAAATGTATAAGATTATGGAAACAATTTACAATAGAAGTCAAGAACAAACACATTCAAAAATGTGTCAAAAAAAAGAATTTCAAGAAAAATTGAATTTTACAGAACAACAGCTTATATGTATAACAAATCAAATGAAAATGAAAATCCATCAGATGGTTGATGATGTGGAGGATAAAGTGAATTTACTTTATACCGTGTTTATGTGTTTTAAATAACTATCTGTTCTTTGGTTTTGTTTTTAGGTGTCTAAAGCCCTTAATGATGAAATTCGCAGATTATCGGTTTTAGTTGACGAATTCAATTTACCATTTCATCCAGAAACATTAGTTTTAAATGTTTATAAAAAAGAACTTCATAGCCATGTAGAATCAGGGCTTGGTAGCAATTTGCGAGCTAAACTATCTACCGCATTGGCTATGAATATAGATCAAAGTCAAAGAGAAATGATTGATAAAATGTCAACGCTATTGCCAGAAGATAAACGAAACATCAATGTAACAAATCCCAAACGTGAACCATTTGAAGTTTTGTATCGTTTACATTGTGATAATCTATGTGGTGATTTCCACGAACAGCTTGAATTCAAATTCTCTTGGGGCCTATCCAAATTAATTACCCGTGTTTCATCATTAGCCAATTGGTCACGTAATCAATCAAGGGTTCTAATAGTAAATACATTTTTTTTTTTATTGAATTATTTAATTGTCATTGCAAATGTAACATAATTATTTTTAGTCCCCATCTCACAATCCATCAACCAGTGCTGTTGATGGTTCATTTAGTGGCTTTGATAATAGTTTAGCTGTGGAACAAAATTTATCCATGATATCTCGTGTTGTGGCTGCGTCTGTGGGTACTCAAGGTACCGTGGGAGGACTCGTTTTAGCAGGATTTGTATGTATTCACCCATTTGTGATATTGAACAGAATTTGAATTCCCTCTTTTTTTAGATGCTTAAAACAGTTGGATGGCGTTTGATTGTAGCTGCTGGTGCTGTTTATGGGGTCCTTTATTTATATGAGCGTTTGTCTTGGACAACAAAGGCAAAAGAACGAGAATTCAAAAGACAATATGTTGATCATGCTACTGCCAAGCTTCGTTTGATTGTTGATCTAACATCTGCAAATTGTAGCCATCAAGTACAACAGGAACTTTCAACTACTTTTGCACGATTATGCCAATTAGTTGATGAATCTGCTACTAATCTAAATGATGAAATGAAAAATTTGGATCGAGAACTGAACATGTTAACTAAGTCAACTGAAATTGCAAAGATTTTAAGAAACAAAGCAGAATTGTTGAAAGTAGAGTTGAAGCAATTTGATGATACTTTTCTATGTGTAAAAAACTAGATAATTAGTCAAAATGTAAAACGATTGTATATTGTACCTATTTGTTGAGTATTTCTTTATGTTATTTTTAGAGTAGGTATATAATATTTATTTTATCTTAATTAATTCATTTAATTCAATCATTTTTAAAAGTTTTGAATTTATAATTGTTTAGGTTTTTTTTTTTTAATTAGTAAGTCAACTATTAACAAATTTGACTATTGTTGAACGACATAATATCATCAAAATAATGATTGTTATATTTGAATAAATTAAATAAAGAATACGTCTTAGATAATTCATTGAATATTCTACAGTTACATTTGAATTTCTAAAATAAATGGGTAAATACTAAATAATATTCAATAGAGGTAATATACTCATCAGATATTTTATGCAACTCATTCATTATTTAAATTTAATGGAGTTTTATTATAAACTTAAAATTATGAAAATAAATTAATAATTATTATTATTGAAAAAATGTAATCCATTTATTTGAAATATAGTATGTACAAAGTACATTGTATTGTAAAATAGATATTGTATTCAATTGGTATTATATGTTAAAATACTTTGAAAATAAAATGCATATTGATATAAGGAGTGACACGAGGGTAATTTGCATCTCTGTTATACAATTACAAATAATTGAACCATTAGGTAATATTAATCTCCGCCCTTCATTAGTAAATTATCCTCGAGGCTTTATTAGATCATCTCCTTTTAAAATTTTAAATAATTATGATATGGAATAAATGAGGGAAAATACACCCAATTTATAATTATAATATGGAATAAATGAGGGAAAATACATCCAATTTATAATTGTTAATATTTTAATTTTTTTTATCAGTAATCACTAGTTACTTTAATTTAAAATTAAGTTATAACTTGGATAATTTAAATGTTTTTATTTTTTAAAGTTATTAAAGGTACTTTTTAATATTTTTATTTAAATAGTTATATCATACTGGAAATGTTAAATTTGAATTCAATGATAAATCATTGCACGGGTATATTATACAATTATAAAACGATTCTAAGCAAAAAGTGTGAGTTAAACTTAAGGTATTGCTAAAAATATTTTGGAAGAACCATTTCGTTTAATCACTATCACCACTTTTTTCGGTTTTTCAAAGTTGCAGTGATTACTCGTCGCTGCTCTCCTCGGCGCCGTAGAAAATCGAAAATATCCCCTGACTTGATGTGCAACACCACCTCAAGTTGGTCACAAGTTAACCATCATATATCCACTCCTAATAACTACCTTCATTTTACAACGACTATTCAATTTAAATATTGGTACTGGTATACGTATAACACGCATACCTACCTATAGGCTATAATAGTGGATATACGATGGTTACCCTGTGACCAACTTGAGGCGGAGTTGCATACCAAGTCGGGGGATATTTTCGATGGCGCCGAGAAGCGCAGCGACGAGTAGCCGATACACGCGTAATCACTGCAACTTTGAACTTGAAAAAAAAATAGTGGTAGTGAATTAACGGAAAAGGTAAAAAAAGTGTACTTTGTTGATATTTTTAATTATATTTAGATATAGGAAACATTTTGACTGGTAAATACAATGTTAATTGTTATTAACATTTATCGAAAAACAAAATATAAAAACAAGATAGGTACCTATTTAATTTGTTTTTTTATTTTAGGTTAAAATTCCAAAATCAAAATAATACCTATTATTATCGAATAATTGTAATATTAAATATAGTATGGCACGTAATCAGGCATTCAAGCTATCGGTATTCTTATTTGTTTGGAACAACAAGTAGGTAACAACATTCGTATTTTTAAAAGATAATCTTGCTAATTAATAAATTGTATTCCATATTTACGTATAATTATATAAACGTTAAGAGGATATTGTCAGCGAACTATTTGTTTTCTCTCTCTCTGACCCACGCGCAACATAGCAAAGTTTACATTCACATTTCACAATGATGATTATAATAATATAAATTATAATCATAATAATTTCTAAAATAACCAATTAGAATTCAATGACCTCAAGTAAAACTTAATTATGTTGAATGTATAGATTATTTTCAAATTCAAAATACATTTTTTAGTTTTTATTATTAGTTTACTACAGCGACCCATCATAAGTATTTTTATTTATGTCGCATCCATAGGTTGGTAAACACTGTCTTAGATCAGTGCTCAGTTGTCACTAATCTTCACCAAGTTTTGTGTAACGTAAGCTTTACGATTGGGTCGCGATATGTCTTTCCGTTTAAAATTTAAAAACCCCATATTTATATATTATATTAGGTATATAATATTATAATATATAATAGATGTCATGACAAGAACATAATATACTATTAAAGGTATATATTAGATAAATTGTTCTCCTCAAAACTTGAAAGTACCTACAACTATTGGGAGAAACATATTGACACGTTAGTAAACATTTTACTAACAATAATTTAGATTTTAAAAAGTGTACCTCTATAGACTATAGAGAATTATCATAGGCGTGAGCACGGGGTGAGCCGGTCAAGCCCAGGCGCGACCTGAAACTTTTTAGGGGCATAGTAAAATGTGAGTATTTATTTAAATATTTTATTACAATGCTAAATGCTTATACTATAATATGTTCGAGGAGATCATGAAAATTTTGTCTGTCGTGAAAGTATGAAAAAATCAAAAATATTTGAGTGTACCTATCTAACCTAACCATTACTACATTTTAATAATCTAAAAAAACATACCTTTTTACAAATACAATAACTAGGTATAGTATACTATAGAGTATAGACATTAATAGGTTAATACATTAACATGCATGTTGATGTGTCAAAAAAAAAAAATTAAAGACTGTCCAAATATTAGGGCACTATAATTTGTCTAGGCTCGACCAGAAATTTAAGTCTGCGCATGCCTATGAGTATTATAAACAATAACTGATGGGGCACTTTCTATATGACTGGAAAACACGTCGGTGGCGTCGGTCTGGTAAAATTAACCAAAGACATTGTTCCAAGTTTCAAATGGACACTGTTTTTCTACTTTCAGAAATCCAAGTTTTATGCCGTTAGTTTAAAAATTAAAGTGAATCGACCTATTATAAAACTTGATGGTAAGAACATTATCTGTGTTTTGTTGGAAGTTTTTTTACGATACTTCAGTTTTTAAGTGAGTTATGCCTGTATAATAAATGTAAATTAAAAATACTCATAACTCACTTAAAAAGTGAATTATCGTAAAAAAACAACAAAACATAGATAATGTTCTTACCATCAAGTTTCATAATACGAGTAGGTCGATTCACTCTAATTTTTAAGCTAATGGCATAAAACTTGAATTCCTGAGCTTAAATTTGGTAGGTATGTTACGCGTTTGTAAGACGGAGACAATACATGCGGGTGTTGTAGGTATTCTTAAATTAACACATTTTAACTTAATTTTTTTATTTTTATTTTTAAGCAGTGTTGGGTAGTAACGTAAAATGCGTTACTCGTTACTGTAACGTAGTTACACTTTTCAGTAACGTTAAGTAACTTCATTATTATTATTTTTGGGTAACGCAAGAGTAACTACGTTAATTATTTAGAAGAACTTAGCAGAAGAATGAGTTACATTATAATTTTTTTTTTTTTGGGGGGGGGGGTTATACCATGGTGCTACTTCACGACGGTTCTCCCCCTCTTATCCACATCAAAAATCTAATTATATTAATAATTTAAATAGGTATTTATGTAATTCCAACATTTTCCCAATATAATCTAACTATCTGATAACGTGCACTTCGTTGCCCGTTAAATGTATCAACTCTATATGACTAAAACTTTGTTCAATTCGTTATTTAATATTCTGTGTACAGTGTTCAAAATTTATCTTATCTTTTCCGTTGCCCGGAATAAAAATTCTGAATCGCAGCAGTAGGTACATTGTCAGGTAGGCAATCTACCTTCGGTAGATCGCGGACCCCGTGCTGTTTGTACGTAAGTGCATGATTTAACTGGGTGTCACCGGTTTCCGCCAAAAATTACCTTTCCGTTTTCCGCCAATACCTTTTTCCGCCAAACCAGAAAAAACGTCATTCCCTTTTCCGCCAATTATAAATTATTGAATTTTAAAGTTTAGGAACCCTTACGTAAAGATTTAATAATTTCACACTATAGAGTTAAAAAATAATAATATTTTTTCCAGTTATTATTTATTATATATTACTATATTAGTAATGATATTAGTGTACCGACAAAATAAGTCAAAAAATATAATTTTATCATAACACTTATTAGGTAGGTATAATAGATATAAGTATTAAAGAAATGATATTTATATTAATTGCATTGTCTTGATGACAATATGTCAATATGTCAGCGCTTGATTAAGTATCATTTTTTTAATACTTATATCTATTATACCTACCTAATAAGTGTTATGATAAAATTATATTTTTTGACTTATTTTGTCGGTACACTAATATCATTACTAATATATAATAAGTAATAACTGGAAAAATATTATTATTTTAGATTCTGAGCGGAGCGATGAATGTATTGGTTTTACAATGATGTATGTTTTTATATTTTTATATTTTTATATTTTTATATTTTTATATTTTTATTTATATTTTTGTGTCTGTCATCACGTTTTGGGACAGTAAAAGTGCTTCGATTTTCTTCAATAGTACCTTTTCTGATAGGAAAGTGAATCTAGTTGGTACTTTGGGGGGTCAAAAGTAAACATTTTCCAGTAGTTTTCACAAGCGCCGGGAAAAAACAACATAAAAATTAAGGAAAAACGGGAATTTTTACGCAAAATCGATTTTCCAAAAAATCGAATTTGGTTATTGGTGTAACTTTAAAACAAATGACCGTAGATACATGAAATTTTCACTGGTTGTTTATATTTGCATTTTCTATACACGATAACATTTTCAAAATATTTTGATTTATTTTGAACTGTTTAGGGACATTTTCATTTTTCATTTTTTTTTAGTTTTTTTTCTAGAAATATCAATAAAATTTTATTTGTTCGTTGCGAAA